TGGCAGATGGACCTGCTACTGCACAGGGCTGAGCTTCCTACCTTGAAAGGTCAGAGCAGAAGTTGTGGGCATGAAGTTGTTGTTGTTATGTGCTGTGGAGTCGGTTCCGACTCATAGTGACCATGTACAGGGTTTCCAAGGCTGTAAATCTTTATGGGAGCAGAAAGCCTCATCGTTTTCCTGCGGAACAGCTGGTAGTTTCGTACTGCTGACCCGGACGTTAGCAGCCCGATTCGTAACTACTACACTGACATGCCCTACCTATTGGGAAATGCCAGGCTGGCTGGTCCTGGACTCAGAGTCTGGGGGGGCCACACTGGGGAAGGTGGCTGTTAATCTGGCTGCTCTATCATTTAGTGATAGCCATCTGTGGGAATGGGGGGCCTAGCAGGATGTTGTGGAGCCACCCCTTTGGGATCCCACCTTAACCTGTCCCGCTGGGCCTGTGGATGGAGTGAGGCCCTCAACAGTGCAGTGTATTTTTCACTAAACTATAAAGTCCCAAGTGGTGAGGGTACTTTGGCTGAGGAATCCCAGCCAAACTGGGCAGGCCCTTGTTTTAGGAATTGGATTCTTTCCTTTGGCCCCTCCTCTCCACATTCCCGCATGCGCAAGCAGTTGTTGTGGGCTTTTGCTGGGGTAGGGGTGGGAGGCAGCCTTTCTTGCCTCACCCCACCTCTCCTCCTGGCCCGATGCCATTCCCATTTCCAGATGAGGACACTGAGCCCTAGGAAAAGCTGTTGGGTATGATGGCTGTGCTTGGCCCTGGGCTTCCAGGGACTCCTTAGCTCTGGGGTGCTGGTCTATCTTGCTCCGCAGTGTCCTACTCGCTTAAGAGTCCTGGAGCTGAAGAGAAATCCTGGGAACTCCCTGGCCCAAGGACTATGTGGACCCGGATGTAGCAGCTCAGATGGATTTGGATCCCTGGGGCCGAGGTCCCAGCAAGAGGGGGTGAGGAGGATGCCAGGCCTGGAGCAGGAGTGATAAGAGACAGTTGACAGGAATTGGAATGTAAGAAAGGAATGGGGTAGTGCATCCAAGAAAGCGTGCATATTTGTGGTGAAGGTGGGAAAAACCCAGTTAGGTCTGCAGGGTCGGGGTACCCTAAGGGTGGGTCTAAGCAGGTTGATATGGACTCAGGTGCTGGAACAGGGCACTGGAGCCAAATGGGGTTCAGCCACCTCGTTGAATACCCACTGGCCCACTGTGTGCTGATTGCCAGCCTGTAACTCTGCATCTCTGCCACAGGATGGTGCCAGCTCAGGCGTCCCTGTAGTGGATGCCTGGGTGGGTGACTGAGGGAGTTGCTGGCCTCTTGATTCATGTGCTGAAAGCATGTGAGATCCTGCAGTAGATAAACATCCAGATGTGTGGGTAGAAGTGTGTGTACATGGATGTGTGCTTGGAACCAGGAACATGAGTGCTTGTCCATATTTGGACTGCAGGTGGGAACAGCTCTCAAGGAGTGCTCATAGGACAACATGCAGACTGACACATACATGTGTGAGGCAGGGTGCTCACAGACATGTATACAAACATCCTTGCCCAAGGGACCAGATGCATGTATATGTGTGAGTGGGTCTCTGCTTATATGTGTGCATCCATGCCCCTGAGAGGCCAGGTCTATAAGCATGTATGTGTGTATAGGCCAGTCCTAGTTGTATGTGACAGAGTGTTCATATCCCTACCTGAGGAACCAGGTACACATATGTACCACGTGGGGTGCTCATACCCTTGTCTCAGGTGTCAGCTACATGTATGTGTGTGTTCTTGTCTATGCATGGGCATACACCAGGTGGGATGCATACATGCATGTATGTATGCATACTTTCCTCCCTGAAGGGACCAGGTATATGTATGTGTGTGTCCTAGTCTGTTTGTGTATGCCAGGTGGGGTGCTCATGCACACATGTATACAAATATAAACATACATAGATCCTTGCCTGAGGTGCTAGGTACAGGTGTATCCCTATCTCTGTGTGTGTACCAGGTGGGGTGCTCATGCACACATGTATACACATACATCCCTTGCCTAAGGGGATGTCCCTGTTTCTGTGTGTGTGCCCATGCACATATATGCACACATACACTCCTGCCTAGGGGGACCCATACATACATGCTCACACATGTGTGTGTCTGGGGACTGGGCCTTTCCTGGGTTGGGCTGACTCACAATCCCACAGCCTGGGTGAAGTCATCACCCATTTTTAGCTCCCTGAGGTCATTTGCCAGCAGGACTCTTGGGGCCTTGGGGTTCACAGGGCTTTGGGATCCCGCTGCCAGCTGCTCAGGCAGGGCTGTGCTGGGTGAAACCATAAGATAGCCAGGACTTAAAGGACCCTGGCTCTCCTAGGCCCTTGTCTCTTCATACCTTGCTGACTCTGCAGTGTTGCCCTTCACCACAGGCTGCACTGGGAGAAATTATCTGGGCCACAGGGTGGCATTTGGAGTCTTGAGGTGTGCCCCTCCCCAGTGTCTGGTCTGGGTGGGGGAGCTCTTCTCTGAGAGGGCTTGATTATGCAAATGTATGCAAATCTCCTCTGGGCCCAAGCCACTGGCAGTGTCCTGGGCAACATCCCCCTGGTGGCAGTCTTGTCCCCTCCTGTTACTAGGATGTGGCCTGAGGCCCTTCCTTGCCTGCTCCCCACCCCCCAGTTCTGAACTCTGATTTGACCCCAGCCCCAGCTGAGAGAGTAAACTCTGCCACAGTTGCCTGGTGGCTTACCCCTGCTCCAGAGCCACTATGTCTCCCTAGTGCTCTTGTAGGTCAGAAGAAAGCCCTGGCCATCCTACCTGGTCATCTGCCAGCATGCCCCCACTTTGTGCCTCAATTTACTTTTCCTTTTGAGGGAGCAGTGTGCCCCTTTTCCTGTGCAGGCCCCTAACAGACCACATCCTACCCAAATCCACATTTCAGAAGCCGCCAGACTTGTGAATCACGAGGGCCAAGTATTGCTTAAAGGCCTACCTGCAGCCTCGTCTTTTTTGTGGGTCCCCCTCCCTCCCCTGCGCATTAGCAGTTATGACCAAACTAAACCCACTGCCATTGAATTGATTCCGACTCATAACAATCCTATAGAATAGAATAGACCTGTTCCTTAGGGTTTCTGAGATGGTAAATCTTTACAGAAGCAGACTGCCTCATCTTTTTTCTGAAGTGGATTTGAACTCAGATGGACTTGAACTTCCAACCTTGTGGTTTGCAGACCAATGCTTAACCCAGTGCACCACCAGGGCTCCTAGCAGTTTGTTCTGGGTAAATCAGTTCCTTTCCATTAGTCCTCAGTTTGCTCATCTCTAAAGCTGTGTCTGGTCCTCTGAGGGCCTGCTTCTAGAGGAGCAGGGGAGCCCTAGTGGTACCATGGGCTGAGCGTCAGGCTGCTAATCAGTCACAAGGTCGGTAGTTTAAACCTACCAGCCACTCTCCGGGAGAAAGATGTGGCAGTCTGCTTCTGTAAAGATGTACATTTACAGCTTTGGAAAACCCTGTGTGGAATCGGAAACAACTTGATGGCAGTGGGTGTTTTTGTTTGTTTTTTCCCCCCCCTAGGCCTCAGTTTCCCCATCTGTGAAGTTGGGGAGGCAAGAGCCTGAGTGATACACTGTCCTACAATGTGCTTTGTGCTCCTAGAGAGAGCTGGCAAGACCCAGAGTCTTAGCATTGCATACAGATAGGGGTCAGACTTTACTCCAGGCCAGGACTCCAGCCTGGAGACACTTCACACTGCAGCTTAAGCAGGGTCCGTCTCAGCTGACCTCTCTCATGTCCACTGATGTGCACCTAGTTAGTCCCTCAGGGGCACCCCAAGTACATGGCCTTGGAGGCCTGTGGGCCCACAGACAGGGACAGGAGGAGAGTACCAGCTCTAGAGCCAGGCAGATGTGGGTGTGAGCCGTTGTTCCTCCCTGTGCAAGGCATGGGGGCCTAGGCTTCAGGAGCAGGTCTTGTCCTCCTCCTGACCTGGCCCTGGCTCCCTGGGAACGTGTCCTCTCCCCCTACCCCCACCCACCCTGCACACACTGCCCATCACAGTTTGGTTTCCTGCCCATCTGGTTTGCTGTTGATTCTGGGCTGGGGGTATGGCTCAATACTGGGACTGGGTATCTGTATAATCAGAGGCCCAGGGGTGCACTGTGACTCTGTGATCCCCACAAGAGTCCACACAACAGAGGTACAGACTAGCTCTGGCCAGTAAGCATTTGGGCCTCAGAAAGACCTCTGTTCAAACTATCTTACCAGGAAAATCAAGGGACAATTGCAAGCTTGGCTGCAGACTGGCTGATAAGGAGGCAGGTGGTGAGACCTGGGGGTCAAGGTTGGAGAATCCTGAGGGGGTATGTATAGGAAGGAGGCACTGGGGTTTCCTCCAAGGACCAGCCCAGCACCCTCTCTGATGCAGCTCACCCTGCCCCGGCTCTAATATGCCCCCAGGGTTCTGATCAGTGGGAGTAGTAGACACTGGCCTGAAGCAGATCCAGGCTGTGCCCACTCAACATGCCAAGATTGTCCAGGCCGGAAGGAGCAAGAATATTTTGGGCCTCTGAGTGCGCGGGGCATTCTGGAAGCTGAGTATTTCTGTCCTGTGAAGGCATCTGTTGGGGGATGAGGGAGCCTGGGCGTGGCCACAAGGAGTTGTGATGGAATCACTAGGTCGAGTCCTCTTTGTACCTGGTGCCTGGGATAGGGCAGGGAAGAGGCTGGCACACCTGAAGATTCAACCAGGTCCTTCTTGGGGCCCCATGAAACGGCTGCCCAGGCTGTCCACCTTTGTGGGTTGGTCCTGACCTTCCAAGGCCTTTCCTGCAGGCGGGTGACAAAAGCACGTCGTATCAAACTCTTGTGAGGCTAAGATGAGCCCCAGGGTCAGAAGGTCTCCAGAGGTGGGTGTTGGGATCAGAACTGGGTGGACTTGGGGTGGGGAGGTGCACACAACCTGGCTGAGGGATTGGTTTGATCCAAGGTGGTCCTGCCCAGCTGATACCCACCCACCTTACTCCAGGAGCAAAGCCCAGGCAGCCAGGCCTCGCTGGCCACAATGCCAGAGGCGCCCGAGGTTCTGGAGGAGACGGTGACAGTGGAGGAGGACCCTGGCACACCTACTTCCCATGTGTCTATTGTCACATCTGAAGATGGCACAACCCGGCGTACAGAGACAAAGGTATAGGCTGTGGGCTACAGACCACCTGGGAGCCTTCCCCATTCCCACCCCTCTACCTCCCATGTAGAAAATGGGACACCCAGGCAGCCTCTAAGCCTGCCTGCCTACTCACACTGCCCATCTGTCTTCCAGGTCACCAAAACGGTTAAGACGGTGACCACACGGACAGTGCGCCAAGTGCCTGTGGGCCCAGATGGTCTCCCACTGCTGGACAGTGGTCCCCCACTGGGCCCCTTTGCCGATGGCCCCCTGGACCAGCATTTCCTACTGCGTGCCAGTGGTCCTGCAGCCACGCTATCCCGTGCCTACCTAGGTGGTGGGGCTGTCTTCCCTGATGGCCCCGAGTCTCGGGATGGACCCAGTTATGGCAGCCTGTCCCGAGGGCTGGGTGGTCGACACCCCCGTGGTGGATCCCTGGGCCCAGGCCCCTGCGATGGTTGTTTTACACTACCTGGCCGTCGGGAGGCTTTTCCAGCAGGCCCTGAGCCCACAATGCCTGGTGGTCGCTCCCTGCCTGAGCGCTTCCAGGCAGAGCCCTACGGTTTGGAGGACGACACACGCAGCCTAGCTGCAGATGATGAGGGTGGTCCTGAGCTAGAGCCCGACTACAGCACAGCCACACGGCGGAGGCCTGACTGTGGGAGAGGCCCTCACACCAGGTTTGCACCTTCTTCTGTTGCCACCTCCAGGAAGTCCACTTTCAACTCCCTCACCCCAGAATGGCCACCAGCCAGGTCCACAGGCAAGCAAGTTGCTGCTATGTAGTGAAGCCAGTTGTTCACAGTTTAGTATTAATTAGCCTGTAGGCATTTTTTCTCAAGGAATACAACAAGAGCAGGCCCTGCGATTGGGAAAGTTTGTACATCTTTCCTGTGGGTGGGGAGCAAGAGAGAAGCTGGTGACAAGGTCTGACACCTGCTGCCCTTTCTCCAGACAGACAGCCATGAACACCTGAGCACAAAAGGCTCAAAACATCATTCTGAGAAGGAAGCCCAGAACTCAGGGCTCCTGCCCCTTCCTGGGATACCTTCTGAGTTTGTCCTCTCTGCCCTCAGTTTTTTCAAATCTGTACACTGGGAACGGGACCACAGCTGGGTCTGGATCCCACTGAGTGACCCTGGGCAAGTCACCTGACTCTTACCTAGCTTTCAGTCCCTCCTCTGGGAAGTGGATTTGATGGTGACAACCCACAAAGCTACTGACAGTCAGACATTCTTGTACTCTGGCGGACTGGTGGCTTAAATGCCCACCCTCAGGTGGTCCCACGCTTATCCCTTTGACTTCTGTAGATCAGGAGCTTCTCTCCTGATGCACAGCACCTACAGGTGTAATGGGAGGATAACATACACCTTTTGGCGAGTGTTAGTAAGAGTACCCAGATTAGCAAATTGAGAGCATGGACCATAGCTTTTCCCTTTTCTCTAAAAGGGAAAAGTTATTCCAGTAATTCCGAAAGCCTCATCTTGATAAGTCCTCCTCACAGCAGTCACTCTATGAACAGAAAACATCCTTTGACCCTGCTGCCCACTACCCAGAGGCCACTGGGATATGGGGACAGGAAGACCTCCCCGACTCCCCCCTCCATCCTGGTGCTCCTGGGAAGATACAGCTATTCTGCAGCAGGGATCCAGGGCCCTAGTCATGGAAGGAGATTGCAGGCCCAGAGGAGTGAGTGAGCTTCCCATCCTAGGTGGGATACAAGACTCACCCTAGTGGCCAGTGGCTGGGTTTGGCGAGGCCAGGGTGTGAATGCTCTGTGCTTGGCCCTCCTTCTAGGGAGCTGTGATCGGGGAGCTCAGGCAGGGCTGGGGCTGGCCTGAAGATGCTTACGCCCCACTCACTCACACAGGCCCTACGAGGATGTAGCAGAAGATGCTGGTGAGCTGCTGGATGAGCGGCCTGTGTTCCCAACAGTGACGGCGCCCCTGGCACAGCCTGAGCGGGGCAGCTTGGGCAGCCTGGACTGGGTGGTGCGGCGTTCACCTTCAGTCGACAGTGCCCGCAAGGAGCCGCGCTGGCGGGACCCCGAGCTGCCTGAGGTGCTGGCCATGCTCCAGCATCCCGTGGACCCCGTCAAGGCCAATGCCGCCGCCTACTTGCAGCACCTGTGCTTTGAGAATGAGGGCGTGAAGCGGCGTGTGCGGCAGCTGCGGGGACTACCACTGCTTGTGGCGCTTTTGGACCACCCAAGGGCAGAGGTCCGGCGCCGGGCTTGTGGGGCACTGCGCAACCTTTCCTATGGCCGTGACACTGACAACAAGGCTGCCATCCGGGACTGTGGCGGTGTACCTGCCCTAGTGCGTCTGCTGCGGGCTGCTCGGGATAATGAGGTCCGAGAACTGGTCACAGGTGAGTGGGTATCTAGTTGAGCCTGAGAGTAGAGGAAGGCTTGGTCTGTGAAGGGTTGAATCCATTCCTGTGATTCTGGAGTCCCAGGGTGACAGTCTCCTGACAGAACATTGGTTGGAATTGTGTGTTTGGGGCCTTGTGGACACATAGGACCATCTCTGGCTAATCCTTGTGACTCCCGGAGTGTGAGTCCCATCAGCCTACATGGCTGTGAAATGAGGATGAAGTGATAGGACCCTCTTCTGCATCCCCAGCCCCTTACTTGGGGCAGGAGTTCACTTCCAGCTGGGCCCAGGGTGGGGATCCAAGACCTCTCACACTTTTTGTGGGGACAGAGGTGGGAACCCATGGGCACTGGTCCACATACCCCACAGGAACACTCTGGAACCTGTCATCCTACGAGCCCCTGAAGATGATCATCATTGACCATGGCCTACAGACATTGACTCACGAGGTCATCGTGCCCCACTCAGGCTGGGAGCGAGAGCCCAACGAGGACTCAAAGCCTAGAGATGCAGAGTGGACTACTGTCTTTAAGAACACATCAGGCTGCTTGAGGTGTGGGCATGAGGGCAGGGTGCCTGGATGAGGAGACAGAGCCAGGTCCCTTCCAGAGTCTTGAAAACAGGGTACCCTCTGGACAGGTCTGGTGGTCTCTCACCCTCTCCTGCTCTGCCCAGCTTCAGCCCATTCTCCCATCACCATGGTAACCATGAGAGGGAAACCAGGACCTTCAGCTCCTGCCTGCCTTTGAGGCTTCATCTCCCTTTCCTATGGTCCCATCCTGGAAGCCCTGCAAAGATCCTGTAAACAGAGTCCTGGGTCCCTCATGAGCCTGCCTATTGCTGGAGAGATTCATCCAAACACAGATCCAAGCCTCTTTGTCTCCCATTTCTGTTCCATTCCAATATAACTGGGAACTGGGGGCCCCTTCTCCCAGCCAGGCTGAGGCCCAATTCCTGGTATCACCAAAGGGTCAGCCACCCCATCCCACTCTGGTCACTGTGGGCTAGGCTGTCATGCATTCTCCCAGTAACCCCAACAAGCAGCATTGGGCCTGTTTTGTAGATAAAGGCAAGGCCTTGAGACTGGGAATGGGGTAGGACTGAGGGTAGTGCCTGTGGATTCCAGGGGTCGGTCACCAGGTTTGCTCTGGGCCCCCCAGGAATGTGAGCTCGGATGGTGCTGAGGCCCGGCGGCGCCTCCGTGAGTGTGAAGGACTGGTGGATGCGTTGCTGCACGCATTGCAGTCGGCTGTGGGCAGGAAGGACACCGACAACAAGGTGGGTGGGGCTGAGTGGGGTGGTCATACATGGGGATGACCCAGGAAGGTCCCAGGTGTAGCAAACCCACCACCTTGGATTCAATTCCAGCTGAAAGTGATCCTGAAGCACACAGTAGAACTGCCCCCATAGGGTTTTGAAGGCTGCCTTATCTTTCACATGTGGAGTAACTGGTGGGTTTGAACCATCAGCCTGGTAGTTAGCAGCCCAATGGTTAAACTGGTACACCACCAGGGCTTCCCATATCTGACCTAAACCCACTGGCAGAGTCTATCTCAATTCATAGTGACCCTAGAGGACATAGTAGGACTGTCCCATAGGGTTTCCTTAAACTGAATCTTTATGGAAACAGTCGTTTCTCTTCTTGGAGAGACTGGTGGGTTCAAACCACCAACCTTGCTGTTCGCCACCCAGTATTTAACTCATTGTGCTACCAGAACTTCTGTATAGGCTCTCCTTAAACACCGTGTATCATTTCGCCAGGCTCCCACAAAGGACATGAGGCACACAGGTGCAAGGTCGGGGGCCGAGCCTTCTTCCATCTTCCTCCCTGGAGGCTCTCTTGGTCGGGCTTTCCTGCGCTCGAAGCCTGTGGCCAGCCTCTTGAGAATATGTGCACAGACTTGGGAGGCCACGCCCTTCCAACTTCCCTCTCCCCACAGTCCGTGGAGAACTGCGTGTGCATCGTGAGAAACCTGTCCTACCATGTGCATAAGGAGGTGCCTGGAGCTGACAGGTACCAGGAGGCCGAGCCAGGACCTCCAGGCAGTGCTGCAGGTTCTCAGCGCAGGAGGCGGGATGACGCAGGCTGCTTCGGTGGCAAGAAGGCCAAAGGTGGGTGGGTGGGACTGGGTCCCACTCATACCCCACTGGACTGTGGGGTCTCCAAAATCCTGGCAAGCAGGCAGATCTGGAGGCTGGAGGATACTTGGGCAGCCAGGTGGGGAAGCAGGGAGTCGAAGTTCACCATGCCACCTTGGGTCACACAGCTAGCAGAATCAGTGTGTAAAGCTGATACCCTGCTTTCCCCTGTCAGCACTGTGGGGATTTTAGGGAAGGGTAGGAGGAAAGCTCCAGGGGAGAGGCTTCTGTGGGCCCCTGAGCTTGGGAAAATGCAGAAAATTCTGCTTCTTGACCACTCCCAGGGCACGGAAAGGCCCTGACAAAGCCTGTAGGGCAGAACCTTGCTCTACCTAGAGGTAGGCCTGATGTTCATGCCGTACCCACTGGCACTTGAAGCTCTGTGCTGCCTGCCCCTGAGCTCTGGCCCACCAGGGTTGGGCCTCATCTGACTCCCCTGTCCCACTTTTTGGGCACTTGGTCCCTGAAAGTAATTGGGGTGAAGTTCCACGTTCCACCTCCTGCACCCAGGGTCTGCAGTAGGTGTACGAGACCCCGGGAGGGCCGGTAGGGGGTTGGCGGCCCCGCTCAGCCTCGTCTCCTCTCTCCTGTGCTTCCTCCCGCCGCCCAGAGGAATGGTTCCATCAAGGTGAGTCTTCGTTTGTCCCATTGTCCAGGCCTAGTGGGGGCAGTGGGCACCAGGAGGCAGCCCAGCCCCACTACTCCCGGGTGGTCTTCATGACAACAGCAGGACTGGTGGGGGCAGTGGGTACTCAGAGGTGGACCCCAGCCTCAGGGCCCTCCACTACCCCCGTTATTTGAATGACTGTTTCCATGACAACTCTGTGCCCATGGCAGCTGCAAGAATGTGGGCCTGGACTGGTTGGGAGAGAGGGCTGCTTGTCTGTATCCTCGGCTTGGCTGGGGAAGATGACAGAGAAGACTAGACAGGGCAGGGACCAAGAAGGAGAAACAACCTCCTGGGAGGGGCTGGTCAGGCTGCTCCAGGCACTCAGTCTGCAGGTGGGGTCCATGTTGTCCCCAGACTCAGGGAGGTTTAGCTTGGGTAGGGCTTCTGGGAGAGTCCTGTTTTACCATGTGACCCAGGCAAGTCCTGACACTGCTTGCCCTCAGTTTTCCCATCTACTGAGGTGCCCAGCTGGGGTTCCTGCCTCTCTTAAACTTGCACATCTGGCAGCTGCAAAGGAGTCATTGGAGGGTTTTGGAGAGGCTCTTAGCACCTGTCTCCAGAACCCCCTGCCCTCCTTCCCATCCCCTGAAGTTTGCACACAGGTTGCCACTCCCAAAGCCTGTAGCTAGGAAAGGGTTGTACTTCAAGCCTCTCATCTTTGAGCACTTCCCCCTCCTCTACAGGGTCTGCCTTATCTCCACTGTTCTTCTGTTCCAGGGAAAAAAGACAACGAGATGGACCGGAACTTTGACACGCTAGATCTGCCCAAGCGTACTGAGGCTGCCAAAGGTGAGTGGAGAGAAGCAGAGACAAAGCTAAGGCCAATCCAGGTAGTGGTGCAGGCCTGGAGGACTTGGGGGATCAGATGGAGAAACTGGAGCCCGTGTAGGAGGACTGTTCAGTCCCTGGGCACCAGATGAAGGTTCAGAATCAGTGCTATTGCCACCATGAGTTCTTTCAGTCAGGGTAGATAAGTCTAGAAGGTCACATAGTATGTGAGTTCCAGGGTCAAGATTAGGGCAGGGTAACCCAGGAAGGGCAGGGGGCCAGCCAGGTAGCTCAGCTGAGGAGCTCAGCTTCATTCCAAGGGAAATTAGGGCTAGAGAGGGCACGGTAAGATGCTGGTAGGGGCCAGAGGGATGGGACCCCAGAATGGCTAGGATTCACACAGGGGCAGACCCAATTTCCCCTTCATGTGGCTTGGGACAGTGGGCTGGCTCAGCCAGCCTGAGAGAGAGCTCCAGCCTGGGGGTACTCAGGGTCTCCCAAGTCCCAGGCACAACCAACCACACCAGTGGGGTGACCCAGAGCCCAACACGTGGAGTGGGTGGGGCAGTACTAGTAGAGGAGAAACCGAGCAGATGCCCTGGGACGGGCGTGTCCTGGGAGTATTTGGAGACCAGGAAGCCAAGAGAGGCCACCGTGGTGGGAGCATGAGGCGGGGACAGCTGATGAAATGAGACACACTCAGTGGATGGATGGAGGGAGCCTGACAGAAGCCTCAGTGTGGGGCAGGGAGGCTTGGAAGGAACCCCTCATGGCAGGGCCACTGTGCCAGCACCATCCTGGAGATCCAGGAGAGGCTGTCAGGAAGGGTGGAGCCTGTGATGCTTGGGAGGAGTCCTATCAAGATCTCCCTACCCCAGCCCAGTCTGGGGTGCTCTGGCTGCCAGACTGGTCTGGCCCATCTCTTTGGCAGCAAGGCTGCAGAAGGAACGAGCTCATCTGGCCACTTGCCTTCTCTCTGAGCCTCAGTTTGCCTCAGTAAAATGGGAATGCTTTTCCCTTGGGTGACTCTAAGGGAAAAATTAATGGTTAACATTCCCTGACCATGCCACCCCCATATCTGGCTGCCTCTCATCCCAGCTGCAGGGTGGTTGGGGCTGACAAGTAGGGAGGTTCAGGGTGACTGTGGGTAGCGGGTCCTCTGTGTGCAGGCTTTGAGCTGCTGTACCAGCCTGAGGTGGTCCGTCTCTACCTCTCTCTCCTTACGGAGAGCCGGAACTTCAACACCCTGGAGGCTGCTGCTGGTGCCCTACAGAATCTCAGTGCTGGCAGCTGGACGGTGAGAAGTGGGTTTAGCAGGGACATAAGACTGGGACCAAGAGATGAAATCTGGGGCCCCGCCTTGTGGGGGTGGTGGGTTGAAGTGCCTCCCCACCATCTGAGAGATAATAGGAAAGGTGGCTGGAGGAAGTGTCCTTGAACTGCTGGGGATGGCCTTTATTGTCTGGTACAGTTGAAGGGAACAGGTGGGGCTGGAACAGCTGAAGGTGGGAGGTACACGTGTGGCATGTGTAGCATGCCTAGCATCCTCCTGCACCGCCACAGTGGGCCTCATACATCCGCGCCACTGTGCGCAAAGAACGTGGACTGCCTGTGCTTGTGGAGCTGCTGCAGTCTGAAACCGACAAGGTGGTACGCGCCGTGGCCATCGCCCTGCGAAACCTCTCATTGGATCGGCGCAACAAGGACCTCATTGGTGAGGACCAGTGGGGGTACCAAGCCAGGCCAGTGGCTCTGGGGTCCCTCTTGGGGAGCTCTGCGGGTGGCTCAGGGACCCTGCCTCTTTGGCCCTTACTGCTGGTCCTGCCTTTAAGGTTCTGCCCACACTTTCTTGAGGCTGTCTCCATGCCCCTCGCCTAACCACTTCTGTGTGTGTCCTCACCACCTTGGGTCTGGTCCTCAGGGAGCTACGCCATGGCTGAACTAGTAAGGAATGTGCGCAATGCACAGGCGCCGGTGCGGCCTGGGGCCCACCTGGAGGAGGACACAGTGGTGGCCGTACTCAACACCATCCATGAGATCGTTTCTGACAGCCCGGATAATGCGCGTTCACTGCTGCAGGCCCGTGGTGTGCCTGCTCTTGTGGCACTTGGAGCAACCAGGTGTGTGGGGCAGGTCCAGGTCCTTGGGAGCAAGCCCTTGGGGGTGGAGGTGGTGGGGGTCTTGGGCTGCCATATGCTGACTCCACCTGGGACCTGGCTGCAGCCAGTCTGTACGTGAGGCGAAGGCGGCATCACATGTGCTACAGACCGTGTGGAGCTACAAGGAGCTACGCGGTGCCTTACAGAAGGACGGCTGGACCAAGGCCCGCTTCCAGGTAAATGATCCCCCTGCAAATTGGGCATCCCTTATTCCTTCCTCCTCTTCTCCCAGGAGGTCCTCTGACTTTACCCCATGCCTGTGTGTTTATTCCTCCCCAGTCTGCTGCTGCCACCACCAAGGGACCCAAGGGGACACCAAGCCTGGGGGGCTTTGATGACAGCACACTGCCACTGGTGGACAAGAGCATCGGTAGGTGTGGGCTAGGGGAGTGATGCTGTTGGTGGACAGAGACAGGACTCCCAGGGAGGGGACCCCCTTCCCTGCTCCTTCTTGTATGCCCTTCCCGCTGGTGGTGTCTGTTGGTTCCAAGCCAAGAAGTACCAGAGACCTTGGCTGAGGGCAGCTCAAGGCCTCAGTGAGTATGCCTGCCTGGGTGCCTGTGTGGCCACTGCTGTCTCCCAACCTGTGCATGTTTTACAGATGATGAGAAGCCAGGGAGCAGAGACATGATCCCCATGGATGCCCTGGGTCCAGGTGAGTTCGGCAGGGTGGGCATGAGGGCACTGTACATAAGGAATAGGATAGGGCAGGGCAGCCAGAGAGGGGCCTGAATCCCACCAGAGCCTCAGAGGCTCAAGGGTTCAGTCATGATAGTAGCTAGGGGCAGTGGGCCCAGGCTGCTATGAGGCAGGGGGTGGAGAGAGCTGGTGGTGAGGTGCCCAGGCCTTCAGGCAAGTAGGGATGCACCCTGCAATGTGGGCTGAAGAGAGATGTCTGCTGCTCCTCTGGGACTTGTCCCTTAGAGCTCTCCTCACCCTCCACAGACAGGTATTCCATTGACCGGCCAGGTCGAAGGGCGAGGGGCAGTGATCCTACAGGGGAAAGCTTCCAGAAGGAGCCTTTGAAAGTAAGCAGCTATGGGCAGGTACCTTGTAGAGGCAGCATTCTGGGGGCCCAGCTGGAAGGCTGAGTTTGGAGTTGGCCCTGGAGCTGTCTGCAGGGCTGTGGGTGGTCTTGGGTCCTAGGAATAAGAAAATAAGGTGTTTCTTATTCCTAGGATGGTTTTAGTAGCTAGAGTTGAGTCTTTGGGTTGGGGATTGTGAATCAGAGAGGGCTGCCACGTCAGACCTTACAGACAATGACATGTGGGCCAGCGTGTTTTCACTGCCTTTGCATGTGTATGTGTGGGGTAAGGGCCCTGGTGGCCCTCTCTGCCCCCTGCTCTGTGCAACTCTCTAGCTTGTGTCTATGCATCACGCCATGTCTGTGTGAACTGAGCCTGCCCATTTCCCCTCAGCCTGCTGTGCTGCCTTTGAGCCTTTCCTGGTGGACCCGCCCTCACCCCCAGCCCCACCCTCTATTCTACTCCTGCCTCTCTTGCCCCCAAAGACCAGCCCAAGCTCCTCCCATCAGCTCCTCTAATATGCCTTGTTCTGCCTCTAACACCTTCCTGCCACCCCCTGTCCGCTGCAGCCCGACCCTGGCAGGAAGGCCCCTCCTCTCGGGCCCAGCAGGGCCACGGTCAGGCTGTTGGACGCCGTGGGGGACCCTAAGCCTCAGCCCGTTGACTCCTGGGTCTAGCTTGCATGCCTGGTACGTTCTCTCGTCTGATTGTTTCGTTCATCCGTCTACCCTTGGGGGTAGGGGCTTCTTGTAATCTCTGCTGGCTGCGTGCTCTGTTTACCCTTCATGCGCAGCAGGCCCACACACCCATCTTAGGGAAGGACAGACTGAGGCCTGAGGTGGGGAGAGGGGTCTCCAGCTCTGTCCCTGGTACTGTGGGAATCAATGCCTGAGGAGGTGGGGCCAGACCCGGGATGGTCTGTCATACCTCCACAAGGAAATGCAAGTTGGAACTGACTCTGATGCTAAGGCTCAGGTGGGCCCACACTACTACAGCAGCTGTAGGTGAGCAGGTGAGGGTCCACCTTGCCGCCATACAGACGCACTTGGGCTGGCACTGGGGGTCCCCCCAAGGAGCTCTGGTCAGCTCATCCTGCAAGGGCACTGCCCATGCCTCCACCCTAATGGGCCAGGCAGTACCCCCTTGTCATGCTGTCCAGAGGTCACACTGAGTCCCTGTCTGCTCAGCCAGTTCTGGGACAGTCTGCTGGTGTCCATGACGTGGTACCCATCTTCCCCTCTTTTCCTTCCTCAGGGTTGGAGTCCAGCAGTTTATCCTTAGGAATTTTTATCAAGGGAAGAACGGAACCTCCAGCGGCCGCGCTGAGCAGACACTACTGTGGAGTTTGGAGCCCCCTAGTGGCAGGGGTTGGCAGCGCCTTTTCCAGCCCTCCCCCTCCCTCCAGCCAGGGCCAGGCCTTCTAGACACCCCTGTTGTCTCCCTGAGCTCCAGTCTTCCTAACTCCTTAGGCCCCAAGTTGAGTTAGATGTTTACTGACATGGTGCTGTGTGAAAGTAAAGGCCAGGCTGCCAGGGATGGCAAGGGGCACCCAGGAAGATGACCTGGCTCAGTGGGTGACAAAGTAGACAAAAGAAGAGTTCCTGGTGTAGGCGTAGGAGCATGAGTGCATGCACAGTGGCTGTGTGACACCTGCCCTGGAGAACAGGGACTGGAACCAGACACATAGGTAGCCATGGGCTAGAGGGTAAGAGCAGGAAATGGATGGCGGGTGGAGGGACTCCCCAGACCCGAGTGCCACCCGATGGAGCTGGCAGCCCATCAAAGACTTTGCAAGCAGCACATGAGCTCTGACTAAGTATGGCCCCTCTCAGCCCTGGGAGTCCTTCCCTGGGAGCCCTGAGGATGCACGGAGCCCCAGGCAGTGGAAACAACTTATCCTAAACAGACTCTGGCCCCCATGGGTTGGGCTGAGCTGCTGCAACTGCCCAGGCTGCCCCCATAGAGCCTCTGGGACTGACCTTCAGCAACAGTGGAGGGTCGCTGTTCAGTGCCTGCTGTTTGTAGCTTAAAACAGAAGATGAACACTGACAAAACACAAACATTAAAAACGAAACCAAAAGAAGACTGTATTGGTAAACATCTAGATTTTTGTAAGAAATTTTGAAAATTAAAAAAAGATGCAAAGGAACGTACTGGAAAATATGATTTCAGGTCTCTTATCCCGGGCAGCTTGCAAAGAACCGAAGCCTCAGTTTGCCTGGGTGAGCAGTGGGCAGACATCCAAACTGGTCTGTGTACATCCCCCACCTCACACATGCCTCCTCTTGAAAGAAAGTAGGAATATTTGGTTGTAGCTGAACCTTGCACCTAGGGGTGTTGTCCTGGCCCAAGGCTGCCCATCCTGGGTATAGGAATGCTGATGGGGCCTTGGGAAGCTTGTGGGGCAGTGATGGGGTTAGGCTAAGAGGCCAAGGTGGGGCTGAGAGAACTCTGGATTTAGATAAGATGTGTGCCAACAGGTGGTACAGTGGGTTAAGTGTTGAATTGCTTACCAAGTTGGCAGTTGGAACCCATCAGTTGCTCTGAGGAAGAAAGATAAGGCAGTCTGCTACTGTAAAGAGTGACAACCTTGGAAACGCTAGGGAGCAGTTCGACTGTCCTACAGGGTCACCAAGTTGGAATCCATTTGATGGCAGTAGGTTTGTGTGGACCAAGTGTTTCATCACTTGTCTGCAGGGCAATGTGCAGAAACGGCCCCTAAGTCACCCCCCTCTTCCGTAAACACAGCTGATGGGATGAAGGAGGGGTACTTATGCGTGATGTGGTGGTTGGGGGGGTGGTGGACAGAGAGCATCACTGCCCCCAACATGCCTGGCTGTGCCTGCTTAGAGAAGGGTGCTAAGTGTTGGTGGATGGCCTTGTTTATTTTCCCAAGTGGGACAGGCTCCAGATGAGGCTCACCCCAAGCCCATGGCGTTCCTGTGGGGCTATCCCAGGTGTTCCATCCCCTTCACAGCTGAAGCAGTGCTGTGTAGGGCCAACTCTCTGTTGATGACTGGGAGACCCTGGGCTGGGTATGACACCACAGGACCCAGCTGGTGAGCACATGGTGGAAGCATTAGTCAAGGGCAACATGGGAGTGTCTCATGGCAAAATCAAGGGCAACAGGGGGAGGAGGCAGCAGCACACAGTGGAGAAGGAAGGTACTGAGTTATCTCGTCTCTTAGATGTTTGTTGTTGCTACGTGCTCCGAGCTTGTTCCAGCAACCCTATGTGCTATAGAACAAAACACTATCCAGTCCTGCACCATCCTCATAATGGTTGTTATTGATCCCATTGTTGTTGGCCACTGTGTCAGGCCATCTTGTTGGGGATCTTCCTCTTTTCTGATGACCCTCCTTTTTACCAAGCATAGTGTCCTTGTTCAGGGACTGATAACATGTCTGAAAGAAAATGTCTCACCATCCTCACTTCTAAGGAGCATTCTGGCTGCACTTCTTCCAAGTCAGATTTGTTATTCTGGCAGTCCATGGTGCTTTCAGTATTCTTTGCCAACACTGTAACTCAAATACATCAGTTTTTCAGTGGTCAGACTTACTCATTGTCCAACCTTCACATACATACAGGGAGTTTGAAAATATGGCTTGGAGCAGGCACATCTTAGTCTTCAAACTGACATCTTTGCTCTTGAACTCTTTAAAGAGGTCTTTTACAGCAGATTTGCTTAATGCAGTATGTCATTTGATTTATTGACTGCTGCTTACATGAGTATTGATTGTGAATCCAAGTAAAATGAATTCCGGCAACTTCAGTCTTTTCTCCATTTATCATGTAGGGATTTTTGTTTTTCTTACACTGAGGTACAATCCATACTGAAAGTTGTGGTCATTGTTTCTCATCAGTGAGTATTTTAAGCCCTCTTTGCTTCCAGCAAGCAAGGTTGTATCATCTGGATATTGCAGGTTGTTAATGACTCTTCTTCCAATCTTGATGCCGTGTTCTTTAGTTAATCCAGTTTCTTGGATTATTTGTTCAGCATACAAACTGAGTAAGTATGGTGAAAGAATATAATCCTGGTGTACAACTTTCCTGATTTTAAACCAGTCAGTATCCCCATGTTCTGTTTGAATGACAGCCCCTTGGTCTCTGTACAGGTTCTTCATGAACAGTTAATTGTTTTATAATAACCATTCTTCACAATGTTATCCATAGTTTGTTATGATCCATGCAGTTGAAAGCCTTTGCATAGTCAATAAAGCACAAGTAAACATCTTTCTGGTATTCTCTGCTTTCAACCACAATCCATCTGACATCAGCAATGATATCCTTGGTTCCAAGTGCTATTCTGTCTGTAACATTTTACTTGCATATAATATTAATAATAATATTAGATGATTCCCACAGTCCATTGGGTCACATTTCATTGGGATGGACACAAATAATGATCTCTCCCAATTGGTTGGCCAGAAAGCTGCCTTCCAAATTTCTTGGCATAGACAAGTGACCACCTCCAGCACCGCATCAATTTGTTGAAATATTCCAATTCGTATTCTGTCAATTCCTGGAGCCTTATTCTTTGTCAGTCCCTTCAGTACCATTGGCTTTTGATCATATGCTACCTCTTCAAGTAGTTGAGTATCTTTTAGGAACAGTGATTCTGTATCCTTCCGTCTTCTTGTGATGATTCCTGAAATGTTCAATATTCTGCCCACGTTGTTAAGAGCTGTCAAAATCCATTCTGACTCATACTGACCCTGTATAAGGTTTCCAGGGCTGTAAATCTTGGAGCAGAAAACCTCATCTTTGTCCTGCAGAGCAGCTGATGGGCTTGAACCGCCGACCTTGTGGTTCAGACTAGTGCTTATCCTACAATGCCATCATACTCCGTTTGGCTCATGTTATTATTGTTAAGTGCCATTCAGTCAGTTCTGACTCATAGCGACCCTGTATAGGGCTTCTGAGGAGCAACTGGTGGGTTTGAACCACTGACCTTTTCGGTTAGCAGTCCAGTGCTTATCCTACAACACCACACCTGGACTCCACTTTGCTCATAGTATTCTTCAATATTGCAACTATAGTTTTTCTTCAGTTCTTTCTGCTTAAAATGTTGAGCGTGCTCTTCCCTTTTAGTTTTCTAAGGCCAGGTCTTTGTACATTTCATTATATTTGACTTTGTCTTCTCAAACTGCCCTTTGAAATTTTCTGTTGGAACTCTTTTACTTCATTTCTTCCATTCGCTTTAGCTTCTCTACAGTCAAGAGCAAGTAAGTTTCAGAGCCTTTTCTGATAACCATTTTGAGCTTTTCTTTACTGTCTTTTTAATGATCTTTTGATTCCTTCATAGATGATCATCTGGTTTTCTGTCATTAGTAACTAATGCATCAGATCTGTTCTTGAGATGGTCTCTAAATGGGATATATCCAAGGTCATATTTTAGCCCTGATGGATTTGTTAGTAATTAATGGTCTATTCCACAGCCTGACCCCAGGTCGTCTTGGTTGATATTGACCTCCTACATCGTTGCTTCACACAGATGTAGACTATTTGATTCCTGTATATTTCATCTGTTGATGTCCATGTGTATAGTCACCCTTTGTGTTGTTGAAGAAAGGTATTTGTAATGAATAAGTTGTTGGTCTTATAAAATTCTATCATGTAATCTTAAGCATCATTTCTACCACCAAAGCCATTATTTTCTAACTACTGATCCTTTGTTTCCAAATTTCACCTTCCAATCACCATTAATTATCAATATATCTTGATTGCCTATTTGATCAATTTCAGACTGGAGAAGTTGATAGAAGTTTTCATTTATTGGTTTTAGTGGTTGATGTATAAATTTGAATAATAGTGGCATTCACTGATCATCCTTTTAGGCATGTGAATATTATCCTATCACAGATAGCATTGTACTTTGAAGCCAGACCTTGAAATCCTCTTGATGATGGATGCAACACAGTTCCTCTTCAATTTGTCATTGCTGGCATAGTACACTATCTAATTATTTGCTTCATAACGCCAATACCAATCCATTTCAGCTTACTAATGCCTAAGATATCAGTCTTTATGTGTTCCATTTAATTTTTGACGACTTCCAATTTTCTTAGATTCATACTTCGTACATTCCGTGTTCCAATTATTAATGGATATTTGTGGCTGCTTCTCATCAGTTTGAATTGTTACCCATCAGCAAATGAAGGTCCTGAAAGCGTTACTCTATCCATGTCTTGAAGATCAGCTTTGAGAAGGCAGCTCTTCTTCCTTTCAATTTAGGGGCTGGCTCATATTCTGGCATGATAGCAGACAATGGCTAACCCTTCTCCTTCCTAGTCTGGGGCCCACCTCTCCATCTTAGTCTGGAAGCTCCACTGAAACCTGTCCACAATGGGTAACCCTGCTGGTATTTAAAATACCAGTGGCATAGCTTCCAGCATCACAGCAACATACACATCACAAACTGACTGCCAAGTGGTGGTCTATGTTTAGGTATCTTTAATTTTTATTTTGATATCTTTTAAACATGACATTGCTGTGTAAGATTGCTACAAGTGATCAAGTTTAATTCTTGAAAAAAAAACAAAAACAAAAAACAACAACCCAAAAAACCAGATGCGTGCTAAGAGCTTTTGGTCCAAGTGCCATCACTGAGGCATTGCTACCACTTGGTGATGGTAAACCTGACAGTTTTCAAATATTCCCAGCTTACCCCCTACTTCCTGCATCTCATGGATGCCTCTGTCAGCCCGAGGACCTGCCCACGGGAGCCAGACCTGAAAGAAACTTCTCAGAATGCCAGTGCAGTGAGTAGGCACCATCTTGAACCTGCTCTGGGTCAGTCTAGAAGCAAATGTTTCCTAGCAGCTTTATAATGGTGATTTTTGTACTGGGTGCTCCAGGGTGCTCTGTGATGGACCAGTGTGTGATAGCTCGGTGCAGCGGGGAAGAGAAGACTCGGGGACCTCCCTCGCAAGCCTGTGGTGTGGATGGGCCACCCCAGACCCATAGAAAAGGCAGGAGTGTCCATCATACCCTAAGACAGGCTTGGAGAGGGAGCCTGGGGCAGGATGGGCGGTCAGGGCTGCACCGAGGCCCTGGGACCTGGGCCCACATAGACGGCCTTCTCTAGGCCATCCACCTCGTCCGAGTACTCCAGATGCGAGCTGTAATGGGTGCACTTAAAGCGACTACTCTCACGCATGTATTCCAGGAACTTGGGTGCTCCTGGGACGATGACATTGTCAGCCAGCAACACTGTCCCTTTCCTCAACAGGCCACACTCCTGCAAGGGAGAGACAGATGGAGGGAGAAGGGTGAGGCATGCTCAGCCAGCCCACTCCAGGCTGTTGCACCCACAGGTACCTCTGGTCTATGCCCCCAACCCTGGCTCTTCTCCTTCCAGGTCTCCTCTTCCCCAACCACTCTGTTAAGTTTTACTAGCAAGAGTTGTGGTGAGGATGAGTCACAGCTGTGGAACACAGCCCCTCCATTTGTCCATGGAGCCCCAGCCCCAGAGCAGGGCACACAGTAAGTGAGTGCTCCAGAATGCTTGCAGAAGGAGATGGCAGGACAAGGATTCAGACCAGTGTGTCAGCCCCAAGGCCAGTGGGTCCCTCATCCCCCTTGGCAGGAACACGTGGCTCTTCTGAGAGGTACCTGGGGCCTGGGCGTGTGGGCTGTTGGGGTGGAAACTGATGTGTGACATGGGAAGCCATGATCAAGCCTGACCAGGGTGATCGTGTAGGGCTGCTGGATAGGGTGGCCAGCCAGCAGGGAAGAGAAAACTCTTTGGATCTGCTCTGGACCAACCCAAACACTTGCAATTTCTGACACCTCATGTTCACCAGCTCCTGGGTTGCTTGGAGGACACCATGGTCACTGAGGAGGATGGCTCTGTGTAAGAAAGGGGTGCTGGACATACTACTAGAGGAAGTACCCTCCAGGGTACATGCTTAGGTGAAGGACCATGTAGGGGATGTTTAGTTTCTCTAAAATGTGGTGAGTGGGGAGTGCAACAGGGAACCTCAAAAGTAAAAGTTTTCCTGAGGGAAGGGCAGGCCTGGGCATGAGGTATGCAGGAGACCAGTGACTTGTTTTCTAGATTTGACTTTGGGAGCAGGCAGCTTGTGTATATACTGATGTATGTTGAAATAAGGCTATCCCAAACACAGCAGGCAACGTGGAAAAAATGAGCCCCAGTCACTGGCCTGAATCCTTCAGAGGGGGCTGCTCAAATCAGGACTTGCCCTACACTCCTCCTGGGCAAGACCCTTGAGACAAACAGTGTCTTCACACTCCAAGTTTGGCTGAGGTAGCCAGAGTGGCAGACACAGCAGCTAGGTTATGAGGCTGATTTTCTGCAGCCCTGAATGGAACAGGAAGCACCAGTATGAATCTGACGGACATTCTCTTAAAAAAAAAAAAAAAAAAAAAATCCCAGTTGCTGGCTGAAAAGGAGCCCTGATGGTACAGTGAGTTAAGCGTTGGATTGTTCACATCAGTGGTTCAAACCCATCAGTCACTCCAAAGGAGAAAGATGAGGTTATCTGCTTCTGTAAGACTGACAGTCTCAGAAATCCTATGGGGGCAGTTCTGTCCTCTATGGTTGCGGTGAATAGACTCTCCAGCAGTGTTTGACTTGGGATTGGCTGAAAAGGCCTAGAACAACAAGTAGCTCGGGAGTAGTGGCATCCAGCCCAAGGCCTTGTTATTGGGTGGTACCTGATTTGGGGCAGGAGATGGGCAAGATGAGCCACAAAATGCTCCAAGAATACCACAGTAGTACCAAATGGGCTCAGAGGACCTCTGGTGGCCACAGAGGAGATAGTCTGATCATGAATAAAATTGAAGAAGACATCAATGATTGAAATGTCACCCACAGATCTAAGGACATGGAACATTAAGAATCCATGCATTCATCATCATGGCTACCTTAGAAGGATGTGAAGGGTCCCATGTGTCGTTCTGAAGGGCAGGGTCCATCCGGCATTCTCCAGAGGTCATGGCCAGAAGTAGGTATCAGCTAGCCTGACATGGAGTGTCAAGGAACTTCCTGTACTATGAGGGGGTGGTTTTACAAGCATGAGTATGCCCACAGTTCTAGATGCCTGTTGTCCAAGATAGCATCCCCTCTCTTTGAGTGTTGGCTGGCCTCCGTGGTCCACTTTTAACAAGCAGTAAGGCGCAGGTGGTGGTGCATGGTATTTTGGATTTTTTTCTAATTGACTTTAGTTGCCACTGAATAAAATCCAACCCACAGTGACACCATGTGTGCAGAGTAGAACTGCCCCATACAGTTTTCAAGGCAGCGTGAGCTTTTGGAAGCAGATACCAGGCCTATATACCAAGGTGATCGTGGATGGGTTAGAAACGCCAACCTTTTGGCTGGTGGTGGTTTTAGGTGCTGTCAAGTCAGACTCATAGCAACCCCACATACAACAGAACAAAACACTGCCTGCTCCTGCACCATCCTCACAATTATTCCTGTTTGAGCACATTGTTGCTGCCACTGTGTCAATACATGTCACTGAGGGTCCTTACTAAGAATGATGTCTTTCCCCGGGGACAGGTCCCTCCTGGTAACATGTCTAAAGTACTAGTTGAGTCCTTAACCATTAATGCCACCCAGGTCTCCAAGGTTTTAGACTGTTGTTGTTAAGTGCCGTCGAGTCAGTTGCGACCGTATAGGGTTTCTAAGGAGTGGCTGGTGAGCCTGAACTACTGACCTTGTGGTTCAAACTGACTTGATGCAGTCCAGTGCATTAACCTGCAGTGCCACACCAGGTTATAAAAAGGCACTGCATCTTCTCCTTTGCTCTCTTTTTCTCTCAGATCACTTGTTCTGGGAAAAGCTAGCTGTCAAGGTCCCTGGGTGGCGCAAACAGTCTGTGGCTCAACTACCGACCTAAAGGTTGACAGTTCAAACCTGGCCATCTGCTTCTGGTAAGATTATGGCTAAGAAAGCCCTGTGAAGCACAGTTGTACTGCCACACATGAATTGGAACTGACTCGGCAAGAGGCTGGGTCATTTTTATGTTTTGAGGATATTCAGGCAGCCTACACAGACACACCTGTGTGACACGGACAAAGGCTGTCTCTGGGCAGCCACCCTTGAACCTGGAATTGTAGCTTGCTCTGCTACCCCTACTGATGACCCCCTCACCCCTCTGTTTCACAGAGGAAGAGGTGATTGGGCCCCTGCAGAGCCAATCACAGGGCCACAGAGCCCGAGCATGGGGTCCGATGAGTACAAGCTGAAAATCTGAAGTCATTTCCCATTCATTGCTTAGTTTCTTTCAAGATAATTACCCACTTTGAACCAGCAGTACTGAGAAAACTATTAGTTTCCTAGTTACTGAACTGCAATATTTGTTGCTTTTCTATAAATACAGGCCCTTTAATCACCACACAACTCAGAGCTGCTGAAACTCCCACGTAGCCCCAGTTTGCCACACAATGCATTACTGGTGTAGAGTTTTCTCTCCTGTAGGCAACCAGTCTGTGCCCTCAATACCTGACGTATGACCCTCAGCTGGGAGGAAGTGCTGGTGGTGCAGTGCATTAAGCTCTGGGCTGCTCACCAAAAAGTCCTCAGCAGAAAGATAAGGCAGTCTACTACTCCTGTAAAGATTTATAGCCTTGGAAACTTACGGAGCAGTTCTACTTTGTCCTACAGGGTTACTATGAATCAGAAGAGACTTAATGGCAGTGGGTGGGTGGCACAGTGGGTTAAGTGTTGGGCTTCTCACTGAAAGGTCAGCAGTTTGAACCCACTAGCTACTCTTTAGAAGAAAGATAAAGCAGTGTGCTTCTATAAGGACTGACAGCCTTGGAAACCCCAGGGAACATCTCTGCTCTGTCTACAGGGTCACAATGAGTTGGAATCAACTTGGCATGGAGTGGCAGACCTTGCCCTGCCCTGCTGGTGCTGGTGCTGGTTCTGTCCCTGTCCAGGTGCCTAGCTCCCTTGGCGTGAAGGGCTTGATTGGTCTATTGATGGTTCCCTCGCACTTTTGGTCCAATGGTACATAGCAGAGCGTCCCTGCATGTCCAAGACAGACAGCCAGGGATAGCCCAGACTGTCTGCCAGGTGAGGCACCTAGTGGGAGGAGCAGCCTGTGCCTCCAGTGGAGCTCTTTGTATCGTGTCTCACCTTCACCAGGCTGCCCAGGATGAGGACAGGTGGTAAGTCATGAGCATTAAGTGTCTGTTTGCTAAGGACCAACCCAATGCCCAAGTTCTGCCAGTCTCGTGGGGGAGGTGTGGTCAAGTCAGGGCACAGGACCCTCTCTGGGTGGGATTGGGCCTGTGGCCAAGTTGAGGGGACCAGTGACTTTTCCTTCTCGAGAGACCTGTTGCCTGCTGTCTTGAAGGCTGGTGGCCTTCTGGGCCAGGCATCTGGTTCTGCTGCATTCACCCCCTTCCTGCTGCTGCCCTAGCTCTCTGGCCACAATAGCACCTTCGCAGCTCAGGCATGCTGTCACCCCACTGCTCCAGACCCTGGCTTGGTGCTGTCTACATCTCCACCCTCACCCCCGTACTCGGAAGCCTTGACCTTCGGCTGGGTGGCCCAGGTTGCCCAAGATGGGGGCCAGACTCCTCTGTATCTGTATTCAGAAGTAAGCACAGGGCAGGGAATGTGCATGTGCACACAAGACTCACCTCGAGAAGGAGCGTATCCGGCAGGTACCGGTCCTTCCAGTGATCGAGGAAGACCATGTCCAGTGTGTCCACGTCATACTTCTTTTTCAGCTGGGGGATGATGTCCTGGGACGCTCCAACCAGAACTGTTACCTGGAAGGCAGCGACCATGTGAATGCCCAGCACCTCTACCCCTCCCATCTGACAGTCCTGCCCAGAGATCTCATGTAGACACCTCTAGTTCACTCCCCATCCTCCCGTGCAGGTTTGGGAGTCTCCTCAGGGCTCTCTACAACAGACCACTCTCTCAGAGCTGTGGGGAAGCACCTGAAGGCACTCTAAGCTTAAGCTGTCCTCTCATCTGGCCCCCCAGCCCCAACGTCCACCCTCTGTAACAAGGGGGTCAGGGGAACACAGTACCTTGTCCTGCAGACCAGCAAAATCCAACATCTGCTGAGTGATGGTGGCATAGATAGGATTGAGCTCAATGGTGAGCAGGCGGGCACCAGGCGGCAGCAGGCGGGCCATGCGCACGGCAGAGTAGCCGCAGTAGGCGCCCAGCTCCAGCAACACAGAGGGCTGGCACTCTCGCACCACCTTATCCACAATCAAGCCTGGGGGACAGGGGGTGGGGGGCATGCTGAGTCAGATCTGGGTGCAGCTGGTGGGAGCCCCTTATAAGAATCTACATCTCGAGACTTGGGCCTCACCTTCCCTCCCCTTCTCCACTGCTGAGGGGCGCTTCCACTTTCTCCCTGCAGTCTCTTATACCTCTGAACAGGCCAGTCCTTCTTACTTTCCCACCCGCCTGGATCCCTGAAAAACATCTTCACCCAGAGCTGTCCTCTGTGGAAATCCCCCCCCCCCCACTGCTCCCAGGCAGCATGAGGCATCCTTGACCGGACACTATCCAGGACTCTGACATGTGTTTGTCCCTAGGATCCAGTCTGTGCCTCTGGCTGGAGTCCAGGATGGAGGAGGGCCATGGGAGATACCTTCATCTCTGCCCGGCCCTCCCTCAAGTTTCTTAGCCACAGCACTGTGTGTGCCTAACAACCCCCCCCCCCACCACCACCACACACACACACCCTGGAGCCCACTGCCTGCCCTCCCTAGAGTCTGGCTCTGTGGGACAATGCAGCTGTGGAGTCAGGCCTGATTCAGGCTGTGCAGGAACTGACTCCGTCCAAGACTGTCAGCAGGCCTTCAAGGAAGTGACGCATGCAGAATTCAGAACCCACTCCCCCACCTTCCTCCCTGCTCAGAGGGTCTCAAATCTGGGTGCAAGCCCTTGCAAGTGTCCTGACTTGTACAACCGTTCCCCCTTTCACCTTTTCCCTTAACTCAAGCCTGCAGCTCAGCTCCCCCACTGCCACCCGGGCCTGTCTGTGTCTATGCAGAGTTACAGGCTTGGAAACCCTGAGTGGGAATCAACTCCATGGCAGTGAGTTTGGGTTTTGGTTTGGAGGCCTGCTGCTCAGTCATCCAGGGCTCCAAGACCAGCTCCTCGACTGCCACCAGGGCCTATCCCTAGGTTCTCAATCCCCTTGAAAATGGGGTGCTAAAAGGACTGTAGAGTTAGCCCTATTTCTCTCCCACATCGAGTGCCCACCTTTCTCGTCACCCACGTTCATGGCCCACTCCTTCTGTGAGCAGTACGTGTCGATGGCATCTAGCACGCTTTCAGGGTTCCCGGGCCGTGCACACTGCTGCACGTGGCGCAGGATGCGATCCTCCTTGCTGTTACCCATGAGCAGGTTGCGGACTGGCAGCAGAACGTGATCATTCCACAGGATCAAGCACAGGCCTCGAAACCGGAACTGCAGGTAAAATATCAGCGGCAGCGCCAGCCCCAACAAGGCAGCAGCCAATAGCAGGGGCATGCCCTCCAGGAACTGCAGAGGAAGGCGGGGAAGAGAGCAGGAAGTCCATGGGAGGAGAGAAGGAGGGCAGAAGGAGGACTTCAGAGTTCCCTGCCTTGGGATGTTTTCCTGCAAGAGGGGGCTTCAAAAAGTGCATAGAAAAATTCCAGTATCTTTCAATTCAATTTTTCCACAAACTTTATGAAGCCTTTTTGTACATGTCCCCTTTCGCAATTCACTCACTCTCTCCTCATTTTTGTAGGGTTGGGGTTGAGGATGTTACCATTTCTCCCATTGTATTGATGTGGTTGGGAGTGCAAGTGAATCTGTAGGATAAGCACTGGACTTCAAATCACAAGGTTGTTGGTTCGAATCCACCAGTCGCTCCTCGGGAGAAAGATAAAGCTTTCTCCTCCCACAAAGATTTACAGTCTCAGAAACCCTATACAGGGTCACTATAAGTTAGAATCCATTGGAGGGCACTTAACAAGCTACACACAAGCCTTATTACTCTGCTGCCTCTGCCTTGAGCAGACCACATGTCAGGGCCAGGGGACACAGGGAACCAGGGCTCAAAGTATAACCATTCAGAGACCAAGAGGTGTCTGTGTGAGGGATATGCTTCTTGTTGTTAAGTGCCAAATGGCAATTCCTGGTTGAAGGACAGCCCCCCTCCCCCAGCTTTTCTTTGTGTGTGAATTAGGTGAAAGTTTACTGGGCAGATCATCAGTTTTACATTCAGCAAATCATACACCTTGCTACATTACAATGATTATAATCCCCTCCATGTACCATCAGTTAACAGTATTTCTCTCTATTCATTTTAGCTCTTTTTGTTTTTTTAAACTCTCAGGCATATACAATAATTTACACCACCAAAGGGCACATTCTGCAAGTCTGCCTCCTGGCCACCAGCTCTCAGTCCCCCTCTTCCCATGAATCTAGAGTCTTCAGCTGCTCCGTCTCTCTATGTCTCCATCTCTACCTCCATCTCTGGTATCGCTGCTTTTCTGGATAAGGTCCCGCACTCTGCTTGTGCCTTCCTCTCTTGATGGTCCTAGGGTCCTCTGTTTCTGGACTGTAAGATTAACTTAGTCCCCTGTTTTTGTTACAAAACTTCTTTTACAATTGTGGCAGTTGCAATTAGTCATGATAACAATTACTCACTATTGAATCATACAAATCTTATTCCCATCTCTTTTTACCAGACCCATCTAGACAAGATGAAAACTATTCAGTGGGGACTCCATCTTCCCTCACACACTATTAAACTAAACTCCCTCTTGAAAGTTTGTAAGCCAGTCACTTTGTGCCCTTATTGCCCCCTCATTTTAGGTAGCCAATGCCTAAGTTGCCTATCCCTTTCTACCCTGTGTAGCATAGATACTTGATGTGAAGACTCCTTTTCTCTGTTGGTATTTAGAGCTACTACCTCCATGAGTATAGGTCAAGTTCAGCAAATTGTAGCAATTTACCCTCGTTTCCTTTATCTAAAAAAAAATAATAATCTTCCTCTAGTCCAGTTCTGATTATCAAGCCATAGAGGCTATGTCAAATGAGTACTATCTTCAAGTTTGGGTATTCTTATGCATCTCCCCTCACTTCATATCAGCTGGATGCTCCGCTCTCAGCTCTAGCCCTCTGTGGCTAGGTCCTTGTCCATGGACTCAGGTGTCTCCAGGTCTCACCACACTTTGAACCAACCAGGCCTTCCTCTTTTCTGTCTTATCTCCAGGTTAAAGGGAGTCTATGGAACATGGTTGAACTCAGCCCACCCCCTAGCTTCTTAACTCTCAGCTGTACCTTCTAGGCCACCTTAGAGGGCCAAACAGTCTGGATGGATAATCGGAGGGGTGGGAAAATGGCCCTGAGCAGGGACAGCTTCCACAAAGCCAAAAGAGATCTTGCAGAAATTGCCAGAGAAGGCCCCAGGTGGCCTTTAGACTCCCTTGTGGTTCTGCAGTGTCTCCTTGGGCTGTCAGATGGAGGCAGGGGGAGGATGCAAGTGATTACATGACCCTGCTCTAGTTTAGCAGCAAAGCTGATCTAATCAGCAAGGAATTTCTTTTGCCTTTAGCTAATCTTTAACAGAAACTGTAGTCTGAAATATACCTGAAGTCCTGCTATCTAAGTCCCCTCCCTGGTGGCTGGCCTTGTGCAGATCTGAGAAGCTACAAGGTCTTCACCCAGGGTGTCTCCCAGTTCAGGACACCTCAGATAGTCTCCTTGCCTGAACTGGCATGGTCCTGCAGGCATGCATGGTGGCCCATGGACTTGTTGTTGTTGTTAAGTGCCATTGAGTTGGTTCCAAGTCATAGAGATCCTGTATAGGGTTTCTGAGGAGCAGATGGTGAGCTTGAACTGCCCACCTTTTGGTTCAATCCAGCCTTGCAGTCCAGTGCATTAACCCGTAGCACCATACCAGGCTGAAGCACTAGTACCAGTGAAAAACAGGGAGAAAAACAGAGAGAGATGGATCCCACAAAGAGTAATTAATAAGTTGGGAAATAACATGTAACATTGAGAGCTAGTTGACAAAAACAAACAAAGATGCAATTTCATAAGAAAACGATCCAAGAGAAACACTGGCAAAGGCAACAGATAAATACAATACGGTTTCTAGAAAAAAGCAGAAGCCTCAGCAGGCTCAGGTGCCCACTGCCTGGGATGGGGGCCAGAGCCCATTCACTGCTTTTGGAAGTGTAATTGTAAAATTCTTTTTGGAGAGCTAGGAGTACTGGTGGTGTAGTGGGTTACATGTTGGGCTGCTAACTGTAAGGTCAGCAGTTCAAGTCCACCAGTTGCTCTGAGGGAGAAAAATGAGGCTTTATTTTCCCATAAAAATTTATAGTCTCAAGTTGTTGTTGTTGTTGTTAGGTGTCATCAAGTCGGCACCGACTCACTGCGACCTTATGCACAGCAGAACGAAACAATATCTGATCCTGGCCCAACCTCACTACTGCTGCCACACTTGACGTCATCAATGCTGCCACCTGGCCAATCCATCTCGTTGGAGGTCTTCCTCTTTTTCTCTGACCCTCCATCTTACCAAGCATGATATCCTTCTCTAGCAACTGTTCCCTCCTGACAATATGTCCAAAGTATGAGAGATGAAGTTTGGCCATCTTGGCCTCTAAGGAGCACTCTGGCTGCACTTCTTCCAAAACAGAT